ATGGTGAGCCAGAGAATGTCACGAGTTGTCGCGGGACGTCGTTGGTCGGCCGTTAGGCCGGGGCGTCGCCGGACGTATGTCATGACTCTTGGGCGGGTAGTATTGTTGGTCCAGCTATCGACTGGAGAAAAGGTATCATATGCGGGGTGAGTTTTGGTGAGACAGCGGCCATATTTAGCTTCTGTCCAGGGCTCTTGCAGCAGGACAACATCGTATTGCTCGGAGTCTGCAAGTGCAAGGGCGCAGTCGTGTGCTGGTGGGATCTTGCCCACGTTCGCTTGGAAGATTCGTAGAGTATTCTTGCCGTTTTGTCGAGCACGGGTATGCCTCGTCATGGATCATGCGCGATGGGGTCGATGCGTCGCTTCTTGGAGGGAGAGGCAGGTCTGCTCGCGGGCCGAGGAGTCGTATCCACGATGATGTATGGCGGGGTTATAGTCATGGTTGGGCTGAGAGTCGAGGTCTCGCTCTCAGCTCTTGAAGTGTTGGCTTCAGGCTCGATTTGGCTGTCGTTGGGCTGGGGAGCGCTGGGGGGCGTGCTGCCGGGCATGCTGCCGGGCGTGCTGCCGGGCGTGCTGCCGGGCGTGCTACCGGGCGTGCTACCAGGAGCAGAAGGGCTAGGGCGGTCGTTCGCCTCAGGTGCGCTCAATGGCGCCGGTCCGGGTGAGGGGTTCACGGTCTGAGGCGATCCTCCGTCCGGTTGGGAGAGCGCGTCCGCCTTAGCCGTGCCTTGCCTTAGCTGGGCGGATAGCTGGGCGCCCATTTCTCGGACGCGGGTTTTCTCCTCCTTGGTCAATCGGCGGAAGGCGCCATGGGATCGTATGGGACGTGCCGGGCATTTCAGGAAATCTGCGGCATGCGGTCCGAGGCAGTTGCCGCACTGCTCCGGCGCTGCGCAAGAGGAGTCATCGTGTCCGGCCTTGCCGCATCGCTTGCAGGACAGTCGGCGGTCGCAGCTATGTCGGGCGTGGAAGTCCCAGCATTTGTCGCATTGGCGGGGCGGTACGGGTTTGTCGATGTATCGGGCGAGTCTGCTGGAGCCGAAAAGCCGCCAGGGTTTCTGCGTGGGTTTGAGGAAAGACACGAGGAGTGTCTTGACAGGAAAATCGTTCGAGTCGTGACGACTAGGGCGGATGTTGACGGCCGTCTGGCCGGTTTGGCAGGTAATTTCGCCTTTCACGGCTTCGTCGTAGTCGGCTTCGTTGCCTTGGAGATCAGTGAGCCTGCGAGGACAATTGGATACGACGTAGGTGTACCATTTCTTGCTGACTTCAACGGATTTCGCGCCGAGATCGTCAGCCCATTCGGACTGGCGCTGGGCGATGAGGTCTCTAGTGGTTGCATCCGCGGTGCGAATAGCCCAGCCCGAGTTTACGGGAAAGGCTGCCGGGATTTGGTGGAGGTCGATGCCGACTTTCGCGGCGATGTGGGTCCGGATCGCGTACGATTCGAGCTTCCTCGCCGGTGCTTCGGCGTCAAGTCGCACAAAGACCCGGAGGTCCTCTTTCGCTGGGGCGGGGATTGGTCGTCCCTGGAGACGTATTTCGGCTGTTTGTTGTGGTGCAGATGGCGGGGCCACTGCAGAGGGGGCGGTGGCGTGGCCTGCAGGGGCCTGGAGAGGGCTGCGACCGGCGGCGACGCTGCTGTACGTCGGCGCCGTCACGGGCGGCAGTATCGAGAGAGACTGGCGCCAGAAATCGAGGAAGCTGGTGGCGAATTGGTTCGCGAAGGTATGCTCAATTCCAGACGTGAACTGCTTCGCGGCCTGGTCGAATGATTCGCAGAATGCATGGAAGACTGCTAATTTGGCGTTGTAGGCATCCGTTTGCTCTTGTGCGACCCTGTTGGCGCCTTCGACGATAGAGACGGGCTCCAGAATGGTTTCTAGCGAGGGCCTATACGGCGCGAGTGCAGGCTGCGCACCTTCCGTAGCAGCAGAGTTGGAGAGTCGGAGTAGAGGCGAAGATGGCGTCTGAGCCAATCGCCGTGGCGCCGGTGAGACACCGATCGGCCGGTCCACAACCGGAGAACTGTTTCGGAGCTGGGCAGCACGGGCCCGGTCGGCGAAAGTCAGGGGAACATGATTATCCAGATCAAGGGGATCTGAGCCGGCAAGCGAGCCCATGGCAGTTGCCATGGCCCGCTGCCAGAGCCAGCGCAGCGCGCGGCTCGCAGAGTTGGTGATGCAGTTGTTAGGCGAATTGGTGTAAGTTCCTCTACTTTCTTAACAATTGTATGCCAAGAAAGTATGATGACAAAGGAAGGGTGACCAGTTAGTTGCTCATCGACAAAGAGTCTGTCCCATCCGCCTGTCATTCTCCACATGACAGAGTCCACAGGGTGGCCAGTTGCCGGCACTCCAGTTAATGCATTGTGCGTGTTTTGAGAACGAAATTAGGACCAGATTGGAATAAGTTGCAGTGCAGCGCTGTGTTGTGCGTGTGGAAGGTAGAGCGAAAGAGACTGGCCGGCCTCACGACCACTAAAAACCCAGTCTCGTCCAGCCTGCCGTTGTGTGTGGCCGCCATCGGCTTACTCATGCTACAGCCGCTTCGGGACGTTCACTCTCTGCTGGCGCCAGCATCGGCTGTCTGCCAACATGGCGGGAGAGCAAAGCCAGGAAGGGCTGTATTGTCGGTACTGAGCGCACGCCCCGACGCTCGCGCCCGTTACGAGTCCGACCTATTCGGGCTGCGGGTCCTCGACCATGGCAAAAGACAACTGCTCGCGCCAGAATCGGCTGTCTGCCAAGGCAAAGGCAGAGCCAAGCCGAGAATGGCTGTATTGCCAGCTGCGGGCACCCCAACGCCAGCGCCCATCAAGGCTTCTAGCTATTGAGCCGCAGCTCCATGGACATTTATTGAAGCCTCCATATTTGGACCAATCGGCCAAACCAGCCTGAATCTGATCAATGCAATGGGGAAAAGGCCGCAAAAGTCTGCACCCAAACGCAGATGCAGCATCCTTCGCGGCGCCGACCCAGTGAAATCTCACCGTGAACATCTCATACAGTGGAGAGATTTTCACGGGTTTCCAGATTCGGCGGTCAATCACAACCTTAAATGGTATGCCGCGCTTACGCTCGCCTAGGGCCTATTGACTCAATGACGTACTGAGTCGCTCCGGTATTCCTTTATTGAACATTGTATTACAGGTGTCTCACGACTCCATAGACAATATCCTTCAGGATCAGCAGCGAAGTCGACGTCACGATCGTCGTCGATACACTGGTGTGCACTGTTAAAGTTACAATAGCTCTTTCAGGGCTCAACAAAAATAGAAAATATTTGTCAGGAAAAGGCGTGTAAGAACCGACACTCCCTCCTATGGCAAAGCTAGTTTCTCGTCCCCCTCGGTTCAGAGCCAAGACAGCTACATATTTATATTGATTCCAATCGCTATCTCATCTAACTCACTTTTTCACTATGAAGATTGCAGCCTCACTTCTTGTTGCTACTCTGGCCGTGGCAAGTGCTCTTCCAAATGCACCTCTGGAGTCCCGAGACGAGCCTAAAGCCGTTGGGGCCACCCCAGTTGCCCATCATTCGTGCGCGCTGAAGGACAAGGGAAAATATATTGTTCGTAAACCTGATTATCGTGCACACCGAATCTTAGGAGGTTTTACTAAGTCTTTGTCCAGGGCGGCATTGATCCCGATAACCTCCATGAATACTGGGAAGATCTTAAGAAGCAGGGTCAATGCAAGATCAAGGCCAAGAAATGCAACAGAGTTACTTGCGGCAATACTTCTGCCATTTATGTACGTTGTGCGGTGTTGCTACATAAGAGAGACATAGTTAACATTTCTGTAGGTTTGTAACGACAACGACTATGATATTGCGCCTGGTTGCGCAACGATCGCGGAGTGGGTAGGAGATGTAAGTTCTGCCTGTGGTTGAAAGTTGCCCTTCAAATTACTCGACAGGAAACTGACAACCTTGTAGCCACTTCATCGCACTGGCGACGGCGAGTATCATCTTTCTCAAGCCTGTGGCTGCGGACAGTATAGTTGTGACCATGCGAGTGGGGAGCTGAAATTTAAGGAAGGGTGGCGTATTCAGATGGGCTACGGCAATTGCAAACATTCTCCAGATTCTGATACTGGTGTGTACAGCGAGTCACACTAGACTTTGTCCTTGAGGCACATGGGACAACCGCCGGGTGGCCAAGCTGGGATATCAAAGATCTAGGGTGGATATAGGCTCCTGGTCGCCGATCAATCCTCACATTGGCCGCTGTTTTCTGCCATTTTCAAACACACAGGGTCAATCGCAAGCCGAATTAAACATACACCTGCACTGGCTGTACTAAAGCAGCCCCCGGAGCTGCTGCAGGAGCCACCATAGAATGGAAACAGGCTACTTTTGAGACCAGATGCCAATGACATTGCCCTCGGGGTCGGTGAAGCGCGCATAGAAGCCCATGTTGCCACCGATCTCCGTCTTAGGGCTGTCCTTACCGTTAGCCAGCCGCAGGAACGTAGGCAAGACACTGCACAGACACGAATCTCAATGAACAAAACCTAGACAGCACTTACCATTGGGTTTCGCCCGCGTGGTTCTTCACCTTTTCGAGCGTCGCGTTGCACTCTTCGACGCAAAACGTGGGCAGCGGCGGCAGCAGCACCTCCTTGCCCAGCTTGCCGTACTTCGTCGCCTCGTAGCCTTCTTCCATGAGCAGGAACACGCCATTGACGCCGTTGCCCTTGCTGCTGAAGAAATGCAGCGACGCGACGCCGTGGTCGCCCTTTGGAATGGCCTCGGGCTTGCACTCCCAGCCGAAGATGTCGGAATAGAGCTTCTGCGCCCGCGCTGCGTCGTGCACGGGTATCTCGAGCCAGCATATTTCGCCAACCTTGTAGCACTGCGCCGGGAAAGCGTTAGCCGTCGCGCACGCCTTTCAGAGAGTGGAGTAGCTTCTTGTATGTACCTCGGCGCTGTCTGCCATTGTGATTGTATCTGCGCCTCCTATGACAGCTTTGTATGTTGTCTTGGGTTCCTGGGGCCTGTGTTACGAATGGCTTGCTCGTGAAAGAGCCGTCATTTCTGGGCCGCAAGCCCAGGAATTCTTATCAGGTTATTTCAACCTATGGTGAGATTCGAGAGCCCTGCCCCGTCACAACGGGAACACGTCCGCTCCATATCCTGCCTCCCTGTACCGCATCAATGCAACGGCGTCGCAACAGTGCGCCTGCGGGCGCACCCGAGAAACAGTAGATCCCTTTCTGTTTCGATGCATTATATGGACAGCGTTTCGCACTGAAATGATAAAATACACGAACACACAGCGAGGAAACATTTCGTTCTACCTGAGAGGCAAGCAACGATCAGACAATGACAGCTGGACACCAAACATGGAAGCAGTGCGGGCCACAATCCGTTATGCGTTAGCAACAGGGCGATTGGAGAACACGCGACATGGATGGGTCCTCGCCGGACCAGCCATTCACTACTAACCCCTTACACATCACCCGTGCATCCAACAACAGGCACCGCTTCAACCGCCGTAGATAGGACTCTGAACACTTGAAGAATTGCCTTCAAGCTTGCTTGTTAATAAAATCACACACGGGAACAGGGCGTCATGACGAACAGGAAAGACAAAGAGATGGAGATGGACAAGGTATGGGCTATTTTGAGACTTGGTCAAATTCGGAAGCGAACATGTAATTAAGCAGATAGTTGCTCTATTGGCCAGCTGGTCACCGGGCGTAATCAACTAGTGAGTAACAGACGGCAGCCAATGGCAGGGGCTAAAACTGGCAGGGGATGCATTTTCGCCGAAAAAGTGAGTGCGAAAACACACAGTAGTCTATGCCGTCCGATACTGACGGGGACCGCAGGCTGCGACACGTGAACTTCCTCGCAAAAGGCCGAGTTTCCTGATACATGAACTGTGATAGCCTGGGGGTTCTGCGTGAGCAGCTATTCAACCACGATCTCGGTGGAAGCGCGAAGTTGGCCCAGTCACAGCTTTTCCTCGCCTGGTGTCCGCGCTCTGCTGGGCGCGAACTCGCTCGATTTCTTGGTTCTATTACGAGCGTTCGGTTGCTAAATTGTTGTCTCAGGGGCCGGCGTCGGCCACTGTTTGCCGGTTTCCACGACGATGCCGAGGATGACATGACTGCGGATGCTGGAAAGGAACGGTTCGCGGTTTTGATGGCCCAAGCCTGAAGTCGGGAGATGAAGTCATTGCGACGGCTGAATCTCGGAAGGCAGCAGACCCAAGCTGCTCCCACCACTGCCGGGCCAAAACGCACTGTGTCTGGCATCTGCTGCGCTGGCTCACAAGCAGTTCCTCCAGCGATTTGCGCGTTCTCAGCGTCCTGCTTCGGCGCTCCCATACCTTATATGAACTACATGCATCGGGAGTTACTGCGATGCAATTTGACGTCGAGCCTGATCCATTCAGTGAATAGGACTCTACCGCCCCAGAGGCTCAACCGTGTCCCAGAACCCGTCCCCATCAAACAGGTTCTTCTCCTTCTCTAGCAGCCCACGGCGCGCCAGCTTGACCTTGCGTGCCGTATCCTTGCTGCACCACAGCCCTATGTCAAACTCCTTTAGGCTCGGCTCTCCAAGCAGCGCCAACGCCGCGAGCGCCAAGTACGAGTGGTAGATGTCTGGTGGGGAGCCGACGGCCTTGCCGAAACCGCCGATGCGGTGCTGTGTGACGTCAACGAGGTACCGTCGCGAAGGGGCCGCGTTGACCACCTCCAGGCTATCAAGGATCTGCAACGAGAAACGTCAGACTTACACTGCTTCGCAATGCCCCCGTAATGTCCTTCTTCGTTATCAAGTTGGGGGAAGAATTTCCCTACCGCCAGCGTGCCGCTCACCCACCACGTGTAGCATGTGTCGGCCTTTTTGTTCCACCGCCCGTTGAAGCCCACGCAGGCACACCCATCGTCCAGATCCATGTCGCCAAGCTTGGACTCGACGAAGTTTTCATCGTCGCTGGCATCGTCATCCTCCTCTTGCTTCGCGAGGTACTCGAACTGGCGGTGGGCGAAGAAACGGACCAACCTGTCGCGACACCCAATGCCTGCCTCCATGGCTGCCTCCCTGGACGCTGAAGAGAATGGCCCCCGGCGATCCAACATGTAGAGTGCCGCGATGCCGCAATACGCGTAGCCGGCTGCGAGTCCAAAGTCAGGTTCGTAGGAACAATGGTTCAAGGGCCGGGCCACGTACCGTGGGATTCGTGTTCTGAGGCTTCGGCAAGGCCTCCGTCAAACGTCTGTATCCGATCAGCCTCTCGTATAGTTATCACATGCCGTAACCTCGCTCAACCCACCTGACATCGCCGAATGTGCGCAACCATGCTCTCGACATCCACATCATCCTCTTCTGCATCGCCTCCGTCTCCGAGTAGCATCCACCGAATACAACTCGCGAAGTAGCTATGCCGCATGTCCCTCCCGCCCACGGCCTCGCCCTCCCACAGCACCTGTCCAAAGCTCCCGTCACACCGCTGCAACCGCCTCAGCCAGCGCAGCAGTTTCCGTCTCTCCACACCCGCGAATGCCGCCCCCGCCTCGCCTTCATCGCCAGCCGCCAGCGCCAGCAGCAGCAGCGCGAAGAACGTAGCCGCCAGATTCGCCGCGCCGCGCGCAGGCTGGTCGCGCAGCGCGTGCGTCGGGCTCCCGCAGAAGCCGCCATCCGGATGCTGCAGCCCGAGGACCCAGGCGCGCACGGCAGCCCGGTCCGCAGCGCTCAGCAAAGGAGCAGTGGCCGCGTCGGCAGAGGGGCCCAGCAGGTCGAGGGCCGAGACGATGAAAAAGGCAAAGGTGAGGCGCGTGGAGTCATTAGCAGTGTAGGCAGACGGCAGGAAGGAGGAATGGCACCGCTGCCAGTACTTGATGTGCCGCGCCGCGTCGAGGCCGGCCATGATGAAGCTCTGGCAGAAGGAAGACGCCAGCACGTGGGGTGGGGGATGGCGACAGATACACTGGCGCCCGGCGCGTTTTTCCCCACAAGGCCACCGGCCAATGGTGATCGGTGCAGCACCCGACGTGAATAAATGTGTCAGACGTACGGAGTGGATACCAGCACTCTGCGTCATGGTCTAAAAGATGGGGTGTATGACCAGTTGCTCGAGTGTATTGATCGTGATCTTCATTGCTCCATCTGTCGACCCATCGTGTTCGGCATGAGGACCTCTGCTGCCCCGTGCGCCATCGCTGTCTGGCGCCTCGTACCATTGCCTAAACAGCAACGTGAGGAAAGCGGTTCGAAACGTCGACGATCAGCGCTCATCACAAATCAACTGAATCAATCAATCACCCCAAGAAACTCTCCCCTGTAAACATTTCCCCCCACTTGGTGCTGTTAGCGCTTCGTTAGTGGGGGGAGCGCTTATGGGCGATTCCACCACCCACCTTGTTGTCGGAGCCCATCGCCACCTTAACAGCGCAATGGAAGAACTTTGGAGAGCTTCTTATTCCATTGCAAAGCTGCCTCCGACGGCGAGACGACGCGTTTTTTGGCTGGGAACTCGCGAAGAGACAGCTATGCTGTCTCTGAGTGCTAGTAGGAGCTCAGCGACGCGACCACCCTTCTTCCAACGACGCGCCGACGCGCCGACGCGCCGAAACCGACCACCGAGCCTCAAGAAACATCAAAACATCAGTCACAGTACAGTAAAGGAAGTCGTGCCCCCTTTCAAGTACGCCAAATGATGGAAGATGGACTTGGATGCCCCACCATTCCTGCCCGACAATAGTTTACGGTACAGAATATCGAGGAATACGCGACAGCGACGCGGAGCAAAGGAAACGGATGACCAATCTCCATCGACATGACGACGCGACGGCATCAACTCTCGACCCCCCGAAACGCCAAATACTACAGCCCCAGGACGGCGGTGGAAGTCGTGCCCCGTTGCCGATCCGCCTTTGATGGAGGACAGACCTGATCACTCTGCCTCCTGCCCGACCACAGTTTACGGTTTGAAGGTTGACACCTCGCGACGTCCGAGATGGATTGGATCATTGGAAACCACAGCGAACAAACATTGTTAAATTTCACTTCTCAAAACCACATTTGAACGGCTCTACACAACACCAGTAACAACACCACCAACAGCTCAGAACTCTTCTCACAAAGACACTTCACATGTTACACCTACCACAGCTGGCCTACATCCTAGCACCCCATTTTGCAAAGGACGCATTTGCGACGCGCCCGGCTGCGGGGGCTGTCAAGGTTGTCGTGAGCAAGCACTGACCCAAGAAACATCAACGAGCAAGTCTCAAACACGACAAGTACTTTCTACACGGTCACGTATGCACTTCATGTAGCGCACCCAAGACAAGCGACCATTGCATGGGGCAGCGAGGCGCTAGGCAGCCCAGCGATAGCAGTACACACGAACAAGGTAACTTCAAGGACGGGCCTCTTGGATCAAGTCTAGTCGGCCCTGATCACGGTACTGAAACATACGGCGCGGACGAGTGATTTTGGTCATATAGAAGCAGAGGAGGGCCTGAAAGGGCCTGACAAGATCACATACACAGAACAGCCAGGAAGACTGTATATACGGATGTCGCTTACCGGAGCGGAAGTGGGGACACTTCTGTGGAGGAACGACCTAGTTGCAACCTGGGCAGTTCTTTGCAGGAGGAAAATGTGCCCGAACGCGAAGAGCGGGGATGCCTGTATTTATTAGTCGTACGCTGCATAGCAAGCCCCTAAAGGGGCAGCTGGGACAGCCTAGAACCTATCGGACCGTTCCGCGGCGAGTGGGGCAGTCAGCTCAGCCGTGTCCGTGTTCCGGGCGCTGAACGATGGTCCTTTTTCGGTGAAAAAGGACGGAGCGGCCGGTGAAACAGACGGCAGCCAACAACAGAGGCCGAAACTGGCAGGGGGGTAGCTTTTCGCAAAAAGGAGATGGCGAAAACAGACAGTAGTATTCACCCCGTGCGAGTCCTGCGACTGCGGAGCAGAACGGAACAGATTGTCAGTAAACGCGAGAGCGGCTGAAGGAAGCAAAACATTGGAGAGAAATGATGCAGGTTGTCTTGCATCTTGCTTGCAACTAGTGATTGGCAAGACAAAGCAACTGTGAAGAGCCCTCACATAACGAAGTCACCAGGCTGAGACAAGAGCTGACAGCCCCCGCCCCCTTTTTTTTGGTTTTTTAATTTGGCCGGGAGCAAACTTGATCTTGTGAAGACCCTCCCCACCTTAGTCGGGAGACCGAAGGGGAGCTGAATGGTGACCATCCCTTGAACTTGCCTCGTTGAAGTTCTTGAACTGACACGCTGCCGGGCAGCGGCCACGAGATATGCCAAGACTGAGGGTATTATATCAACAAAAAGTGAGTATCTTTCACTATTTTCTTGCGAACGAGGTGACCGTGTCGAGAGATATGCTTTCTTGGCGACTATGGGGCCATGGCGTTAGCGTTATATCGCACCCTTTGGGACTCTCGAGGCAACGGCGACGGCCATAAGGCATCCTTTCACTGTTTCATCGCGGATGAATGGGTCATTGACGCATTTGCCTGTTTTGGAGGCATCATGGCAGGGTCCGGCCTGGAGACAGGCAGCTCCACCCGCGCGAATTCAGCATGCAACCGCTCGCCCAATCCTGAGGGCATAAATATGAAAGTGATTACAACTGCGTGCTTGGGCACCTCGTGCTGCAAGCATCCGGCCTGTCAGCCGCTGAAGCAAGCAGCTTTATGCCGAGAGTGGTATTGTCTTCGATGGGTTTCATCCGTCGGGGCTTTGCCTTCGAAGATGCTCTGCGTTTTGCGGGAGCGGTTGGCGAACCGTGCATTTCGCTACTGTGCTGCATTGACAGACGAAGGCGTCTACGAGGTACTATTGAGGTTGGACAAAAGTGGGTTCACGGGACTACTTGTTCCTGGGTATAACACTACGTGGTTTGACGCGAGTAAGTGTAAGGCCTGGCCTTTTGAATGCTGCTGGGATGCGCTCGTCATAGACACAGAGCTCTGGGTTCGGAAACTGGCCGACGATACTGGGAGGTTCGTCTTTGGTGACAAGACTTTACCTTACGATCTGGCCAAACAAGCGAAAGCGCTTGGTGTGCAGGGTGGTGAAATATGACCGAGCGATGGGAGGGAGACGGAGTGTGTTAGTCTATGAGCGTCGTTGAATCAGATGTATTGGCAGCTCGGGTTGAGGTGGTTCTTCCCGCTTTTAGACAATCGCGAGAGTTTCTTGTATCCCTGTTTACCGGCCGGATGTTTGTAGACAAGTGATGTAGCTCTGTAGGTCTTAATGCAAAATGGGTCCGGGGCGTAAGGCCACGTGCGCGGGACGCTTCGTCATAGAGGTACCACTTTCAGAATCTCATTTTTGTCCGGACACTTGGTAAACGTACGGCGCTGGCAGCAGCCAGCGGCTTACTCTGCTGATTTGGCAGTGCTAAATTCTCCAGTGTAGCCAGAACCGCGTCGTGTATTCACTCTTCAGTCATCAAATGACCCTGACTCCGCATGGATCCTCCATGTTCGATATGACAGCAGGCGAAAGTGAGGCGGCCTCCTTGAACATCCGTCTCGTTTAGAGGGTTGAACAGAGTGCTTTTTTGTCCCGTCCACAGTCCGGCTCATCAACTTCCATGGTGGCATGGTCCGTCAATTCTTAGGCCGCTTCAAATACGCCACCAGTTGCTCCGCGGTCGAACCGGCTACAACAGTCACAAGCTCCCACCCGTCCGCGCACCATTGATCAAGGATTGCTTTTGTCGCATGAACCAGTAGCGGATCAGTGGCGTACTCCCATTTGGCCGCCATGATGGTCGACGGCTGGAGGCTGGCTCAGTGTAGTGATCGCGGGAATTCGGAGAGAGAGGAACTTATCGCCGCGCACCGACTGGGGGCGTCGCGGAATACGTACGACACCCGTCCGCTCGCGAGCCGAAACCTACTAACGACCGACAGGAATCACTGCTGGAGCGGGCAGCCCAAGCTCGCGAGGATGAGCTGGGAGATGGTGACGCAGCAGAACAGCCGATCATTGAAACAAGTGTCGAGGATGAGCAAGGAGATGACATTGAGGAAATAAGCGACGACGATGCCGACAGCGATAGCTCCGATGGGTTGTCTGCATAGCCGCACTTCCTATCGAGTTCTCTTTTTATATCGAACCGCATACGTGGCAGGAGTCTTGCGGCTTCTGAACCTCGTTGAGTGGGCCGGTGGAGGGTGACTAGATTCGTTACCGTCGGATGCCTGTGTGTCACCCGCCATGGAGGCCAGAGAGAGCGGTTGGTAAGTCACCTATAGCAGTTAGCGTCAAATTGACCGTTTGGTGCTTGGCATCGTACGAACTCTGGGGCAAGGTATGTTCCTTCTTCGCAATCGTCTTCGTCGACCTCGCGCAGTTCGCTCTCTCCCGCGCAGTCTCTTCCCTCTTCGACATTGGCTAGCTCAGAATCGCAGTCCGAATCGCCTGCACCGCTGAGATCCACTACAGTGTCCTCTGTGAGCACATTTCAAGTGTCCTCGAGGCGTTCGAGCATGGGGCTCCGGCATGGAGCAGTAGCTGCGCGCTCCTCCTCAATCTTGACGTGAATCTCTTGTTTGACCTGATCATCTCCCACGTTGCCACCCTCCCTTTTAACTCGGGCTCCTCTCTTGAGGCGCTTCTTGCGTTCGGATGCTGGGCTCGAGTCTTCCTGCTTCATTTTTCTCTTCTTATTGTCCTTCGTCGGTGTCGAGTACTCTTCCGGCCTCAGGGGGGTGACTGGCTCTTGCTTATCGACCACCTCCGTCGATGTCAGAACAACGAGAACTTTCAACTGCCCAGCCTGGTTGTTCGAAAAATGGCCGGACGCAAGCATGCTTGATGGCGTGATATACTTGTCAGTGTTAGGTGCCGTTACTATTTTCTTCCCTGAGAAGCTCGAGGCATA